AGAACTCAGTCACGAGGCCCCACTAAACAACAAAAGGAGATTGATTGAAAAACATGGTCTAACTATATGTTGGGGAAGAAAGGGAAAAGGTTAGGATGAATAGCTGGTAACCATGGTCTCCGTTTGAGAGGAGGATGGGCAGAGGAAGGAAGAGTCTATATCCAAACCCTCACCCTGGAAAGTGAAGAATTCAAGTTCGGGCCTAGGCTGAGGTTCCAGGAGCTGGGGCCCCTACCCTGGCACCTCTAACAGAAACAGGCATGGGCTGGAAATCTACAGAGCTGGGAATGTCTTGGGCAAGACCCTACAGCAGGGCTGGGAATATCAGGCTTGACTGGATAAAGCAGGCAGGGATCCTGGTAAGGGAAATAAGGTTATCGGCTGCAGGCACACTTCTCTAGGCTCTAGGGCTTTGAGAAGTCCCTCTCCTTTCCAGGAGGTCAAGTATCACAGCTTTCTAGGTAGGAAAGGGGAGTTGCTGCCTCCACACTTAAAAAAAAGTCATCGGAAATGCAACTACTCTAAAGGTAGATGGAATGGAATCCACTGGCCATCCTGGCAAATGAGGCAGCTTATACTGCTTAAACCAGAGGATAGGGCTGCCTGGGTGGCTCAGTCAGCTAATCATCTGCCTCTGGCTCAGGTCATCACACCAGACTCCCAGAACAGAGACCTTCCTTGGGCTCCTTGGGCTCCCTGCTCAGCAGGGACCCTGCTTCTCCCTCTCCTGCTCTCCCTGCTTGTGCTCTCTCTCTCTCTTTCTTTGTCAAATCAATCAATCAATCAATCAATCAATTTTTTAAAAAACAAAAAAACAAAACCAGAGGATATGTTTTCTCCAGGTGCCTGAGTCCAGTGCCAAGAGAACCGAAGAGTAGATAATGCAATTGTAAGAGCAACCAGTTCAAGAAGGCAGGAGATACTAGCTCATACCAGCTCTTAAAAAAAGGGCTCCTAAGGCCTTCCTGGAACTGCAGAGCTAAGTCATTCATCAAAGGTCTTAGGTAAGGAGCCAGAGCTGTAAGACACAGCATATCATCAACTCCATCACCTGCCAGTGCCCACAGTGAACATTGTAGCAAATCATGCTGAGGCCACTACTCAAGGCCATGGGGCGGAGAGCTTAGCAAGGCCCAAAAGCCCAGGGAGTCTTATAGTGCTTGCCTGCCTACTTGGGAGAAAGTCCTGCCTGCCTCTTCATCAGGCTTGAACCCAGATAACTTCTGTAATGCCCAGTCTTCCAGGGGTCCCTCTACAATGGCACCAGCAGGAATAAGGCGATCAAGGCCCTGGGTCACATGTGATGTTCTCCAGGAGTGGCAGTGATAGTGCTGGTGGAGGCGAGGAGGCAGCACTCTGGGCCTCATTGAAGGAAGCAATTCTGCTCCAATCCAAAGACCTCTAGGGTTCAAGAAAAAAAAATGCTCTTTAACATAGAAGATCTAGCTTCTAGCCTCGACTCTGCTACTATTTGGCACATCATGGCATTCTAGCTCTGTTCCTTGTTCTATAAAAATGGAAGGACAGGTGAGGTGACACCTAAGTTCCTTCCAGGTCTGACATCTTGTTCTTGTTAAGTTGACCTGTGGTTCCTCTGTGCGCCAGTCATTTGCTTGATGGCTCTCAGATCCCTCCTCCTCCCCTCCTCTGCCTTGGACTGGGCAAAGCCAGTGCCCACAACCTGGGAAACCAGGCTCCACTGTCACTCGTCTTTTTTTTTTTTTTTTTAAGATTTTATTTATTTATTTGTCAGAGAGAACGCCCGCGAACACAAGCAGGGGGAGCAGCAGACAGAGGGAGAAGCAGGCTCCCCGCTGAGCAGGGAGCTGGATGTGGGACTCGATCCCAGGACCCTGAGGTCATAACCTGAACCAAAGGCAGACGCTCAACCAACTGAGCCACCCAGGTGTCCCGTTGTCAACTTTGAGAGGTCTTTGAGAGGCTCTGGTGACTGGTTGGAAGGCAGGAAGTAGCAAGAAGTTAAGAGAGTTCTCCCCTTCTCTGCTTTGAAAGGCTATGTCTCCAAGGTCCCAGATTCTGCTAGACTGTCCTCACCAACCTATCTGCCTTTTTAGCTCTTTCAATACCTTCGTAACAAGTTCCCCGTGTTAAACTCCCTCTGTTGAACTGCCCAACAGGTGCTGTTTTCCTCACCTCACCTGACCCTGACTGAGGCAACCAGGCTGTGAATTATCTATCTATACTCCGTTCTCAGTCCCACTGCTGTGCGACCCAGACAGTGGGTGTGCTTGTATGTGCCCTTGATTTTATCCACCAAGAGAAGGAAATGGAAGGAGAGAGGGAGCCAGAAAGTGAACTATCAATGACTGAGCACAACCCTGAACCAAATCTCTGCCCATTTTCTCCCTGCATTTGTACAACTGAATACAGCTAGAGAAAAGTCTCACAACCATGCTGTTTGGTTGCAGCATAAAGTTACGGCTGCTATCCTCCAGGCAAGCCTGCAGTACTGCCCAGCTGCCAGCTTGCATTTCCCTAGAGCTTTCACTACCCTGTCCTCCTGGGTGATTGTTCCTTTCCTGGTACCTACCCAAACCCTAGAGTCACCTCCTCCTCCAGCCATCATCACTCTCAGCTGGTAACCTTGCATCCTGCTTCATGAGCAATTAGGAGCATTCAGAGAGAAGAAGCTCCCACCACCCACTCCTTCACCTTCTATCTCTACTTAGTTATTCTACTTTCTCTTCAGTAACTGGGTGAACTGTCTGCATAGCAGGCAAAGGACAACCCCCAAATTGATTTCCCATGCCCAAAACCTATTTCTTTGTGTCTACTCAGGAATATCGCTGCATTAATTCTCGTTTGTCTCTTCTGCATTACCAATTTCCTCCTTTCTATGGAATCTTTCTCATCACCATACAAACATACCATTATTTCTGTGATTTAAAAATTTCTCTCTTGGGGCGCGTGGGTGGCTCAGTCAGTCAAGCGTCTGCCTTTGGCTCAGGTCATGATCCTAACATCCTGGGATGGAGCCCCACATCAGGGTCCCTGCTCAGCGGGGTGTCTGCTTCTCAGTTTCCCTCTGATCCTCCTCCTGTTATGCTTACTCTCTCTCTCTCTCTCTCACAAATGAATAAATATAAAAAAATTTTTTTCTCTTGATTCCACTTCCTACCCGGACCACTACCCCACTTCTCCCTGCTCTTTCAGCAAATTCTTCAAGAGAGGTTTGTTGGGGTTTTGGTCTGGTTTTTTTTTTGTTTTGTTTTGGTTTTGGTTTTGGTCTCTCTTTTCCCTAATATTTCTGCATCCTACATCCAACTCTGCATCCTACTGCTTCCACCACTGCACTGAAACTGCTGCTAGCATACTCGTGACTTTGCATTGCTAAATCCAATGATCAGTTCTCAGTCTTCATCTTACTGGATCTTGCCACAGCATCTGACACAGCTGGTTCCTCTCCCCTCTAAGTGTCAGCATGCCCAGGGCCTGGGTGGTTCAGTCGCTTAAGCATCTGCCTTTGCTCAGGTCGTGATCCCAGGGTCCTGGGATGGAGTCTCACATCAGGTTCCTTGCTCAGCGGGGAGTCTGCTTCTCCCTCTGCCCCTCCTCCCATTCGTTCTCTCAACCTCTCTCTCTCTCTCTCTCTCGCTCTCGTAAATAAATAAAATCCTTTAAAAAAAAAAATGTTGGCATGCCCAGGGCTCAGTCTTGAGCCTTGAGCCCGGGGTCCTTCCTCTTTTCTACCTATACTTCATCAGGTCTCTTGACTTTAAATTCTATCTTCATTTCTCTTGGTGCCCATGCTTATATTTCCAGTCTGGACCTTTCCCCTGAGCTCCAGGTTCGTATATGCATCTGCTTATTCAATGTCTCTATTTAGATGTCGGCAGGCATTTCAGACTATATAGAGATAACACTGAGCTCCTAATCTTTCCTCTTCTCAGCCCATTCTCCATTCTTCCAGTTGCTCGGCCCAAAAACCTTGGATCGTTCTTTCTCTTTAGATGGGGATGGATCCATTTATTGACTTGATCTTCAGAACAGATCTAGAAACTACTACAACCCTGATCTATGCCCCAATCATCTTATGCAAAGATTAATTCATTAGTGTCCTATCTGGTTTCTCTAATTATGCCCGTATCCCCTTCATTTTGTTCTCAACATAGTCACCAGGCAACCCTTTTATTTTTTTATTTTTTTATTTTATTTATTTATTTGACAGAGAGAAATCACAAGTAGGCAGAGAGGCAGGCAGAGAGAGAGGAGGAAGCAGGCTCCCTGCTCAACAGAAAGCCCGATGTGGGGCTTGAACCCAGGACCTGGGATCATGACCTGAGCCGAAGGCAGCGGCTTAACCCACTGAGCCACCCAGGCGCCCAGGCAACCCTTTTAATACATGGCAAGTCATATTACTCCTCAGCTCAAATAAAAGCTAAAATTGTCACAGCAGCTACGGGTCCCAACAACATCTGGCTCTGTTAACCCTCTGACTCTACCTCCCCCTCACTCATTTTGTTCCAGCTCTGCGGACCCCTTTGCCTCCTTGAACACTCCAGGCATGCTTCTGCCTGAGAGCCTCTCATTGATGATTCCTTCTGCCTAGAATGCTTTTCCTTCAGAAACCCTTTTTCTCTCCATGTTGTTACTTCTCAAGTGTTCCCTTCTCAAGGTGGCCATCCCTGACCACCCCATTTAAAACTGAGCGCTCCTCTATGATCCTTTATTTTCTTCCCAACACTTCTCATAAACTATACTTTTTTTTTTTTTTTTTTTTTTAATTGTTTTATCATCTTTTCTTCCTCTGCTAAAGTATCAACTTCAGGGTGCCTGGGTGGCTCAGTGGGTTAAAGCCTCTGCCTTTGGCTCAGGTCATGATCCCAGGGTCCTAGGATCGAGGCCCGCATCAGGCTCTCTGTTCAGCAGGGAGCCTGCTTCCCTTCCTCTCTCTGCCTGCCTCTCTGCCTGCTTGTGATTTCCATCTGTCAAATAAATAAATAAAATCTTTAAAAATAAATAAATAAAGTATCAACTTCAGCTGGCTAGGAGATACATCTGTTCTCTCACTGCTATATCCTCCAGTCCAGCACAGTGCTTGGCACATATAGGTGGTCTGTAACTGAATGAATGAAGCCACAGAATCAAACTTCCCTGAATTCTACCCTACCTCTGGACCTCTTATTATAGAAGCCAAAAATGTCTGACCAATGCCAAAGCCTGGAGTTCTTGGCTGTCACACTCCGCACAGACCACCCTCCCCAGAAAGGACACCAGGGCCTCGCTGAGTCAGGAGCCATGGGACTAGAGGGTTTGAGGTCACCAGGGATCTCCACAAAAGAAACATATGCTCTTTTAAAACTCTCAGGTATCAGATGTCAAAATAACCATCTTGTTTCCTGCATCTTGTTGTTGTTTGCAAGTTTATTAACTGTCTCTTCCTTTAGCCTGCCCCCATTCTATGTATCCCCAGCACCTAGCACAGTGAATGGATGAATAAATTGATTCAGATATAATTCTGCTTAATGTCATTAATTCATTCAACAAATCCTGATTGAGCACCTGCCTTATCCTAAGTGCTGCCTTCATGATGCTCACAGTCTAATAAGATGTTAAATAATCACATACAAAAATCACAGAGGGGAAAAAAAAAACCTGTGACCAATGACCAATGACCCCAAAATATGGGGTGCTGTGAAAGTATACAAACAGAAGCCCCTAATTTAGATGGGAGGCTGTCAGTGAGGGCCTCCAGATCTGAAGGATGAAAGGGGGCAGTTGTCCCAGGAGAGGGAACAACCTATGCAAAAATCCTAAGGAGGGAATGAGCCTGAAGCCTTTGAGAGAGTGAGGGATGGTGGGTGCACTTGAGGGTCTCATCTTGCTAGTGGTGGCCTGTGCTTTGTGGGATCTGCCTGCAGGGGAGGGGACGGCAGGAGAGGCACCCTCCGTGTTTCCAGTTTAACAGCCTTCTGCGAAAGACAAGGAGCACAGGCCAGCTGGCGCTTGACCCATTGATAGAACCAGCTCTGTCTTCAGTGTCTCTATGTCCAGAAATCTGAATCCTGGTAACTTTTCCTTGAGCCAGTATAGTTCAGAGAACTAGTCACACTGCAAGTCCCTCTGACTGAGAGTTAATGTGATGGGTCCAGAACAGAACAATGTGGGGGGACTCCATCAAAGAGGGCTTTGCAGAATATGCAGTGCGTGTGACCATGACCATGGGTTTCACCTAGCAAGCCGAGGGTAGGGCCCGGGCAGCACAGAGGGAATGGAGGCCACTGCCCACTGATGACCTCCTTCTTCTTCCCTGCAGAGAGGGGCAGGGCCCAGGACTGGCTTGCTGCTAGGAACCTGGAGGAAGGAGTTAAGAAGGCCGGGCTGATGACCGTGGAGACAGAGCTCTGTTTATCCAGGAAAAGAGGTCGTGCGTAGGCAACAGAGGCCCCTGCCAGCTCCTCCCAGAAGTCCTGGGCTGGGGGAGCAAGCTGGAGAGGAAGCTGCTCCCCTCTGGGCTCTGAACTCCTGCCAGCCAGAAGCCAGGAACCAGCGGCAGCCCACGGGTGAGGCCTGCCCTCCGGGCGTCTGACGGAGCCAGCTGTGGGCTCGGGCTCCCAGGCAGATGGTCAGACGGTCAGGATGTCACGGTCCCGCGGGTGGGGCGTGGGTGTGTGGTGAGGGACCAGCGGCGAAGCCTCCGGGAACGGACTCTGGGGGTGGCAGAGAATCAATACCGCCTTTGTGCTCAGTGGTTTCCTAGGGAGAGAAGGAGTGTAGTGGGAGTGGCGGCCCAACAGCCCGCCTTGCAGACTCAGGATGCCCTGGGGCTGGGAGGCTGCAGCAGGACAACAAGGGCTTGGGGAGGAGGGTATTCTGTGACCCCCCCCCCTCACCCCCAGAGGTGCGTCTCCTTGGACCTGCCCTGGGGGCTCGCAGGGCAGCAGCCAGGTGTGCCTCGAGTCAGCTCCGGCGTGGAGCCACTCAGAAAGGAGAGGGAGGAGCAAGAGGAGGCAGGTGGGGCCAGGACCAAAGGATGGCTCAGGTTGAAGAGGCGCGCTCCTGGCTGCCAGGAAGGTAGCCGGAGCTAGCTTCCTCCTTCCTCTGGGAGGGGAGCCAGACAAGACCTAGGAGGAGAGTCTGAGTTCGGGATGGGCGAGGGAGAAGGGGATGAGCTTGCCAACGGCCTCTGTGTCTCTTCCGGGGAACAGGATGTCCCAGCAGGGTTCGGGATCTGTGTCCGTGTTTGTGACTATGGACCTTTCGGTAGTTTGAGCGTGTTCGTCCATTCTCCTAATAGTAGCCTAGAGTTTCAGTGGGTGTGTTGGGCTTTCTCACTGAGCATCTTTAGCACTAATGGCGGAGTCTGAGATCTCGGGCGCCTAAGGCGTGCATCTGCAAATGTGACTTTCCGATGCCCTGATGCCCTCCGTTTCTCCTCAGGCCCCCAGGCTTCACCCGCCCTCCCCTTGTTTTTCCTGCTCGGATAGGGGCCCGTGCGCGGGGGGAAAGTGCGCCGTGGCGGACCAACCGGTGTATGTTGGTCGTATCACCCACTTCGGGACCTCTTCTGTCCTCCGCAGGCCTCCGCCGGGAACGCTAAATTCGGACTTTCCCCACCCCCACCCCCACTGCATGTGGCTTTTGGAGAAAGCCGGCTACAGGCTGGGGCCCCTGGAGTCCAGGCCCCGATGGGCGCCCTCCAGCCTGCTCCCCAAGCGCCGAGCCCCGGGCCCGCCCGCGCGCGCCTGTCCCAACGTCCTCACTCCCGATCGCATCCCGCAGTTCTGCATCCCGCCGCGGCTCCCGGACGCTGGGGGCCCCGAGCCCCTGGCCGGGCGCAGCCTCCCCGCGGCCTGTTCGCTGCCCCACCTGGCAGGCCGGGAAGGCTGGGCCTTCCTGCCCGAGAGCCCGCACACGCGCCGGCGCGAGTCCCTGTTCCACCCGCTGCCGCCGCCCGCCGCCGCCGCCGCCGCCGCCGCCGCCGCCGCCGCCGCCGCCGGGGGGCTTTCCCCAGCGCACGGCTGGCGGCACGTCTCCGCCCCGGACCTGCGCCTCTGCCGGGCCCCCGACAGCGACACGGCCTCGTCGCCCGAGTCGTCGCCCTTCGGCTCACCGCGGTCACGCCCCGGCAGGCCCCGGCCGCACTCACTGTCCCCGGAGGAAGCGAGCTCGGCCGACACCAGCCTGCACGCGCCGCGCCGCACGGGGCCGCCGCTCTTCCACCTGGACTTCCTGTGCTGCCAGCTGCGGCCGACCAAGGAGAGCGTGCTGCGCCTCGGGCCCCGCGGCGGCCAGCTGCGGCTCTCGGCCGAATACCAGGCCGGGCCCCGGCGGCTGCGCCTGCGCCTGGTGAGCGCCGAGGGCCTGCCGCGGTCGCGGCCCAGCCCCGGGAGCGGCGGTGGAGGCTGCTGCGTGGTGTTGAGGCTGCGGCCGCGCGTCCGTCCGCGGGGCCAACGGAGCCGCGTGGTCAAATGCAGCGCCAACCCCATCTTCAACGAGGACTTCTTCTTCGACGGGCTGGGCCCGCCAGACCTGGCCGCCCGCAGTCTGAGGGCCAAGGTGCTGGACAGGGGCGCAGGCTTCCGCAGAGACCTGCTGCTGGGGGAGTGTGAGACGCCCCTCATTGCCCTGCTGCCCCCCTTGGGCGGGGGGCTGGGTCTGGGGACCTCCCTGGCGCCTGCCCATCTCAGCCTGTAGACTGAGAGAATGTCACTTCCTCAAAGAGATCTCCTCTAGGTCTGCGTATTCTTTCTTTTCGTCTGCCCAGCTTGTATTTATTTTTGCTAATAAAATGTCTGTTTTTAGCAGGATCTCGCCCCTTGTTGGCATCCTATGCTCCGATCTGCAGCCTACTCTTTTCCCTCCACCTTGGCTACACCAGGGATGGAAGAAACTCACTTACACCGAGTTAGAGCCGACCTCAGGTGGTGGTTCTCAAACTTGAGTGAGCATTCGAATAATCGGACATCCGCAGTCTTGGGCTCCATCCCCAAGAGATGCTGAAGCTAGATTAATAGGTCTGGGCGGTGTAGGTCCTAAGGCCCTGTCCAAAAAGGCCTCCACCCCTTCAGGGGGTCCTCTAATCACTGAGTCACTCCAGAAAAAGCTTTGTGACTGAAACCAACATCAGCCACCTTTCCCCCAAGGGGGTTCCTTGGGGCTGCATAGGGGAAATCAGCAGTCCCCCACCCCTCTGCCTCCCCACTTGTACCCACATGTGTCCTGAGGAGAAAAGAAATTTCTGTGTCTTGAGAGTGAGTCAGGAGATGTCAGCACACAGTGCTGAGTTAGGTGTTTTCTCTCTTGCCTGTGCCACCCTAGCGGGCAAAGCTGCAGCCAAGAGTCCAAGCAGCCCTTGAGGACTGAATGGTGGAGAAAAACTGTCCCAGGGATTGAGATGGGAAGGGCGTCTTACCTGAGTGTGAGAGCTCTTCTCAAAGATGCTCTGAAAGGCTACCCCCGTGAGTAGGGGGAGGGTGGGGAAGGAGAAAATGTAGGTCACATTGTGTTTACCTCCTACCTGAATGTCCCTGACGTCAGCAGTGACCTTCTTCTCTCTCTGTCTGTCTCTCCACCCTCCCTGGAGTTGGTTCCTCTTGGCTCATGCCCGACTTAGAGGAAAGAAAGAGGGATGGGGGTAAGGAGGGAGAGGAGGAGGAAAGCAATGGGCCAACCTAGCTTCTTTCCCCCTCCCCTTTGGGCCCTTTCTCAGTTTCCATGGTGCCTTGAACCAGAGACGAGCCTGCTGGATCCTGATAAAGCTCAGCATGAGTGGTGCTAACAAAACACAAACGTACTTCGCTCAGATCGCCGGGATGCCTTCTCCCTCCCCTGATTAGGTACCCCCACCAGCCGCCCCAGCCCAAGGCCAGGGAACCCTTGCTCCAGCCGTCCACCAGGGGGTAGCATTGACCAAACAATAAGAAGGGCTAACCGCTACAAGGATTATCACCCAGCAAGGAACTGTTCAACAACTTGTCAACTCCTTTATTCTTCCCAGCAACTCCCTGGAGGTTTAAGTACTTTTGTTAGCCAATGTGACCTTGGGCTTTATTCCTATAGTGAAGAGTACAGTTAGGATTCAAACTCAGAGGGTCTGGCTCCAGACTCTGGGCTCTTAATACCCCACTATATCTCTAAGTGCCCGCTGCCACCTCCCACCCTGGTCACTCTGAAAGGTGTCTCCTCCTTCCCTAGAAGGACAGTGTTCCCATTTTTTTTCTGTGAAATCACCCATCGGTCTAGCTCTGTCCTTAATACTGTCCTTCTCCGTCAGTCCCAAATCCCCCCATCACAACCTTTGATGAGCAACTGGATTTGATGCCCATTTGAAAGTCCCTGGAGAGAAACACAGAGGTCATTTCACTTTCATTCATGCATTCCTGCAACACAAGGTAGGGAGGCCCCACTGAGGTGCCAATGATCAAAACAGACATTGGGATCAGACAAGTTACAAAATGAATAAGTAAAATGTTAAAAAAAAAAAAAGAAAAGAAAAGAAAGAAAGAAAGAAAAGAAAAGAGAAGTTAAGTTACTTGGTAAATGTTTTGGAGAAAAAGAAAGCAGGAGGGGGCCTAGGAAAGGGGAGTCAGATAAAGGGAAGGGAAGACCATAGGAATGGATGGGCCAAAACATCGTTTTTTAGCCACAGTTCTTTGGACCAGGTCCTGTAGCTTACCTGTGTTTTCCCAGTAATCATCACAACTGTTCGGTAAGGAAAGTACTGTCATTCCAGTCTTACTGAGAGGTAGATCAGAGAGGCTAAGTAAACTGGCCTGGGAACGGCCTGGTTGCCTGGAAGGTTTAGGACCCTGGCTCCCCCAGATCTCCCACCCCACCGTGCTGCTCAGAGGAGGCTGTGAGGTGGAGATTCAAAGAGCGACTCACTCAAGTCACAGCTATGAGCTGTTCCCCTGTGCTGGAGGCCAGGGTCCCCAGAGGAACTTCTGTGTTCTGTTTCTGTGGCTGAAGTCACAGAAACGTGTCCCCGGACAAATACGGTGCCAAGAATCCCTCCTGTGTGCACACTGCTGGGGCCTCAAAGCCCGTTCCCAGGAGTTACTATCATCCCCTTTTACACGTTGCGGTCATTGAAGACTCATAAATAGCAGGCCATGTTCTTATCCAAGTCTTTCAGCTCCCAAAGTCTCAGCCTCCATCTTTCAGCACTCGCTGCTGTGCCCAAGCCTAAGTGATCACAGATGTTAATTGACAGATGAGTGGTACAGGCAGGTCACCATAGAAAGTTCAGGGCCAGTAGCTGGGGTCAAACTCCTACTGTTTCATCCACCCACAGTGGCCTTTGTGACAGGAAGGGGGAGGGGTGGAGACCTTGAGCTCTACAGATGTTTCTAGAGCCTCTGTTATGCTTTTTTTAATGGTTGAGGAGGAGGGAGGTACAGCCCCCTGCCTGGATCACTCCCATGGGTTGAGGTCTCCCCAGGCCTGGACCTCCTAGAAAGGACCCAAGAAAAGTTGTCCTCATCATTGACTCAGGTTTCCCAGAGGGGGTGGCCCTGGAAGGATGGCGCTGGGGCAGTATGGGGCCTGCAGGCTGCCCAGACCCCACATTCTTTCCATCTTCACACCCCCAGGCCCTCCCTGGAAAGGCAGGCTTGCACTGAGCTTTAAGTGGTTTCTGTGGTTTAGAGGGTGGGGAGGAAGGGAAAACAAGTCGGTGACTGCTCCCCCAGTTCCAAGCCACCACCACCACCCTCTACCTCCTCCAGGCTGCTTGCCCCCTGCTTTGAGATTCCCCAGTCTGATAAGGGAACTTGGGCACGTGGGGGTGAAATGATTCTCTGATCCCTATCAGCCTCTTCCTTGCATAAGAATTGTAAGAATAAATTTAAGGAGGGGAAAAAAAAAAACCCAAACACTGCCCCGCTTTGAAAGGACCAATTCCTCCAGAAAAGGGGCTGTGATTGGAGCAGGAGGGAAGATTAGGCATGAGGGGGGACTTCCCAAAAGGATGATCACAGTAACTTCTTGTCCTAGGGACAAGAATCCCAGGAATCCATGCTTGGGAAAGGAAAGGGGTAGAGATCCTGGAATGTCCAGAAAGCACATGACTTGCTTAGGCCAAGATGCCAGGACCCTGTCTTCCAAAGCACCAGTCACTTCCTCCCCGCCCTACATAGTGGCACCAGTGGCGTGGCTGGGAGAGGCAGTCATACCTGTGGTTTGGGGGGGTAAGCCCGATAGCCTGGCATGGTGCCCCCAACCAGGAGGTCAGAAAGGGCCCTGGGAGACCCAGAATCACAGAAGTAGAGAGGCTGGAAGAGGAGACAAGACGGAGAGGCACGGAAAACAGAACCATAGACAGGAAGGGGCGGACAGAGAGAGACAGAAAGGATCCTAAGTGGAGCAAAGCCAATCACTGGGCTGGGAAAGGGAGAGCAGTACAGCGGGATCCCAGCCTTCCCCTGTACCCCTGTCCCTCTGCCTCTGGGCTGGCTCTACTTGTCTGCCAGAGGGCACCAGGTGGGGTGGTACTTTGGAGAGCCTTGCCTCTTAATCCAAGCCTGCCCGAGGGGGAGAGTACCAAAACACGTCTGCATCCTGTTCTGTGTGGAGAAGTGTGGTCCAAAGAAGTGTGGGCCACTTAGATGTGAGGGCCCTCCATTTACGAAAACGGTGTGGGGGACACACCGTCAGAATCTTGGCATAAGAAGGTCCCCCAAAGTGGCTGCTCCACTCTTCCTCACTCCCTATCCCCTTGCCCACCATCCTAGGAGTTGGGAAGTCCTTCTTCACTTCTAACCTTTGTCCTTCAAGCTGCAGCCACTGGGAGATACCAGGAGTTACCCAGGAATGGAGGTGCTGATGGCAGCAGAGTGCGAAGCTCCAGGGTGGGGCAAGAGGGTAGGATGACAAGACGGGAGGGCAGGAGAGGGAAGGGACAGCCGCCTGCCCTCTCCATGCCAGGTGCCACGTGCTGTGGTGTGGCTGGCTCCTGCTCTGCTGTTTACCAGCTGGGAGCGAGAGCAGGAGCCGGGGCCAGGGAGCCGCCCCACTGCGTCTTGGCCCCTGGCCAGCCAGCCTGTTGGGTAACCAGGAGAGCCAGGCCCAGCTAATCAAACTCTGGACTGAGGCTGTGCGGGAGAGAAGCGGCATCCAAGACCTGCACCAGCCTCATCCTGTCCTGAAGCCTTCTGCAGAACCCTTTCTCTGCGTGGGCTCCAGTGTGGGCCCACTGAGTCGGGGTGTGGGGGGGCTCTACTTCCTCCAGCTAGTGCAGGGGCATCTCTCCTGGCTGCTCACCTCCCATTGCTCTCTGGTCCCACACTCCTCCAGCCCTGCAATGCCCCCAACAGACCAGGAAAATGTGGAGGCATCAGCAGCCAGGGAATTCAGGGGAAGGATAGGGAGGTGCAGGGGCTAAGCAGCCAGAGACCTCAAGAAATTGAGGAACCATGGGATGAGTCTGACCTCATCCCGGAGAAGCAGCAAATCCGCCCCCCCACCCCCCCAGGGAAGCCCTCCCTTCCCCATCTCCTCTGTTCTTGCTGCCTCTCTTGGTCAGGTAGAAGACACACCATCCTAAAGTCACAAAGACCTGGGTTCAAATCACAGTTCAGCCACTTACTCTCCTTGGGCAAGTCAGTAACATCTCTGAGCATCATGTAGCTTAGGGGTAAATCTGGAATAATGGTGGGTGTTGTGAGGATCAAAAAAAATCATGGACCTACATAAAGCATCTGGCAAAGGGCCCAGCACACATAGGTGGTCAATAAATGCTAGTCCCCTTCCCTTTTTCTTGTTTCTCCTCCACGTTCCAAACTCTGTTCTTCCAGTCTCTCCCCTTGTCCCCTCCTGCTGCTAGGCCACTCTGCCAGCCACTCCTTTCCCCTGCCTGCTGACAGGCCAGGTGCTCCCTCCCTGCTCCCTCCTCCCTCTCCTGGGCCCTGCTCCCTGCCCTCCTGGGCAGCCAGGGCAGCAAGGACGGCACCAAGGGAGCTGCCCCATGGACAGGGGCCCACAGAGACAGCACCGAGCCTCGCAGGGTAAGAGGCCCATGGCCCTGCAGGCAGGTGGAAAGGACTTGCCAGGAGGTTCGGAAGAGAGAGAGATTGGAAGAGTCTGGTCAAGAAGAGAGGAGGAGAAGGAGGAGGACAAGACAAGAAAAGAGGAGAGAGATGGACTGGCTGGGGATGCCGGCCAGTCTTGATGGAAACTGAAGGAGAAGCAGGAGGAGAGACTGGGGACTCAGCAGAGGAGGAGAGCGTGGAAAGGGGGAGAAGCAGGAAACACATGGAGAGGAAAGAAAGCGAGCTGTGGAGAAGGAAGCAACAGGTGTGGGGCAGGGGTGAGGGGGGGTGTGAGGAGCTGAGCCAGGAAGGGTCAGAATGTGGGCAGGCCCTCCCCAGCACGAGCGCCCCCTGCGAGGAGGTGGCGACACTGCTGGCGGAACGAAACGGAGCCACCGCTGGAAGGCTGGCCACTCCACCTTCTGTTCACTCACCAACGGAGGGACCTGTCCTACCTTTAAGGGTGACAGACCGAGGGTCGGGGGTGGAAGCAAGCACACCCTGTCAGCTGCCCATGTCCACTAGCCTGGCACTTTCCTCCCCACTGGCCCAGGAGGGTGGGGTTTCGTTTCTGCAGCAGACCGGGGCAGTGGGAGACAGAGTCAGGCAGTCCTTGGCCCCACGTGTGGTCTAACTCAGAGACCCTCTCAGAGAGGGAGCCACTGCCACATGCTTGATCAGTAATGAGCACCAAAGCGAGTGAGGCCAGCAGGCTCTGGGGCCACCTGGTGGAGGAAGAAATCCACTTCCCAGGCAGGCAACTGGCTGGCTGGTGAGGGGAGCACCCCCCTCCCAGGACTATTCCGAGGTACAGGGTTGGAGGCCAGAGAGAGGGTGCCATGTCAGGGAGGAAGCTGGGTGGGGCCAGTCAGGATCAGGGGGAGGGGGGAGGGGCCGGATGGAACCACTCCTTCCTGGGGCAATCCTCCCCCACCCCACCCCAGCAGAGCCCAACCCTTCTAGTCCATTCATCACCACTACCACCACCCCCCAACCTTGCCCCATGGAGGAAGCTGGCCAGTGGGGAGCATCTCCTATGCAGAAGGACAGTATGTGGGGGATGGTGGAGAGATGTCCAGGATTGGGTAGCGGAAGGGAAAATGTAACAGGAGAGCAGATTTGGAGATCAGGGATACTATAGGGGGCATAAGGGAGGGCTGCAGCCTTTTCTGGGACAAAAGGCTGGCCTTGTGCTCTATGAGGAGCTGCTGTGTGATGGTAGGAAAGGGACCAAGGACTGGCAGGGGAAACCTCTTCCCAGGGGCTCCCTTGGTAGGTGTTCAATAAATGCTATAAATGAATAACCACCTTCCCCACCCCACCACCAAAACCACCACTGCCACGACGCTGTAGCTAAGGCTTTCCCCTTAGCAGCCGCCCCTCAGAAGTATGTGCGTCCCTGCCTACCCTGTGTCAACCCACCCAGGCACTCTACTTGCCTGCTGTCTACCTGCACTAGGAGTAGGAAGGGACTCCCTCCTCTGCGGGCTGGTAGACCAGATGTCTGGGAAGGCAGAATCTCCCTCTTCTTCCTCCAGATATCTTCAGTGTCTTACCTTCAATCTCCATACCTCTGGAAGCCCTTGGTGCTTTCAGGCATCAGAAAGCAACCAAGAGTTTTAACTCCCACAGAGCTGTAACTCTAGTTCCAAAATATTTACGTGCTCCTCTAATGGGCCAGCCACTATGGAAGGCTCTGGGAATAACAAGGTCACTGAGACAGCCTCCCAGGTAGCGAGACAGCCTCATTTCATGGATAATGACACAATGATAGCAGTTAGATAACCACATGGCGGTGAGTGTTGGGAAACCAAACGCAAGGGGCTGAGTGTCAGCACGAGGTCAGCAGAGAGGGGAGTGGGCAGCTTCTCCTGTCGGAAGCTTGAGCGATGAGAAGAAGTTGGCTTAACGCTGAGCAGGGCGTCAGGAAAGGACATTTCGAGAGAAGGAATAGTTTGGGGGACTCCCAGATGTGGTGAGAAGCCTGGCACTTCGGAGGCCCTGCGGGGCAGAGAACAGAGAGACGGGTGCTGTGGAGGATGGGGCTACCTTCTGCTCAGACACCAGGTTCTGGAGGAAGGAATGGGGTAGGATAGGGGCTGTGATGGGGAGGGGTTTGTCTCCTGGTGCCCACAGTCATCTTCAACTTCTGGCCCCGGCCTCTGTCTTCTCTTTCCAGAACTGCTGGCTGCAAAGAAGACCCACACCTGTGAGTAGAGGGTTGGGGCAGCCCCTGGCATGGGGTGTGGAGAGATGAGTTGAGCAGGGCTCTGGGGGTGTGCGCGAGAGAGCAAGGCTGGGAGCAGGCCCAGAGACAGGGGAGCCCAGCAGAGGCAGCAGAGGCAGCGCCTAGGGAAAGAGGGGAGATGGGGAGCCCAGCAGGGGGAGGGGTGAAGAAACCTCAAAAGCAGGGTGACACATCAGGGGGAAGCCCACAGACAGGGGGCACCACAGACACAAGGGGAGAATGATTATTAAAGGGATCCCTGGGAGATGGAGCGGAGGGGTGCTGGACAGAGGCACAGGAGCCAGTAGGGGAAAGGAGGGAGAGAGAGAGCAGAGGGAGGAAGGGGCAGCCTCAAGAACTCAGGGAGCCTGTGCCAGCAGGCTTCGTGGCAGCTGAGCCATGTTTGGTGCTCCTCTCGGTGGTTAACACGTCCTGAGGTGTGAACAAGCCAGGCTGTACAGAGCTGGAGAACAGGAAAGCCTTCACCTCTGTAGGAAACATGATACCCAGGGACACTCTGGGCCCTGAAAGATTGAGGCTACAGCATGTGGGAAGGGGTCTAGAGCTCGGGAAGGACTTCCCAAGGATACTGGAGAGTATGTACCCTCTTTTAGGGACCTCTCAGCACAGCAGATCTAGCCCCCTAGTTTGTGGGAGAGGCTACTCTCCCAGAAAATGCACCCACCCCACTTCAGTCACAAAGCTTCTATCCCATCAGGGCCAGGCACGCTGCCCTTAATAGCCCGAGGGTACTCTGGGAGAAGGCCTCCATAAGCATAAGTCCCTGAATTAATGAGGACAGAGGACCATTCTGGGGCAAGAGACCACCTGCCTTTCTCCATGGCCCTCCCTTGGATTACCAGTCAGTTCCTCCGGAGAGCTCGCTGATCCTCCTCTGGCTTCCAAGATTGCTTAGAGCCTCCCCGTTCCCAGTAGAGAAATCTCAGAGGCAACAGCATCCCCTGGTCCCTGAGCTGGGCAGACAGGGGCTGGGGGGGCATCCAGGATGCCACATCCTCCTGGGTGGGGGCTTGCTTTGCTCAGCACAATCCTGATCTGTGCCTCGCCTGCCCCTAGCCACAGGGCCCCACGGAAATGCTGAGCAGGGCCCTGGGAGGAAAGCAGGTCAAGGAGTGACGTGCTCGTGAGCTGGGGGATGGGAGCCAGGGACCATATGTGGGTGGGGAGGGAGAAGGGGGACTTTCGGAGCAGCGGGAACTGGAAGAGGCTACATGCCATTCCTATCTTAACCTCTTACCACAGAAACCTTGGCCAGGACCACGCCCCCTTCCCAGCCCAAAGGTCCTGAGCAACCATGTCCCTACCCCCAGTCCAGAGTGTCCTCTGAGAAGCCAGGGGGACAGCCCCTACCCCAATCCACTGCCCAGGTCCTGAGAGCCAGAGGAAGGCCAGTGGGGAAAAGCCTATACCAGGCTGAGGAGCTGCTGGAGGCCTGGCAAGATCAGAGACCTCTTTAAGAAGTTTGGTGCAGAGAACCCAGGAGAGATTGACTCCCCCAGGCTGGGAGGCTCAGAGAAATAGGCTCCAAATTGAGACAACTCCAAGGAGGGGGTCCAAGACAACCCCAAGAAGGGAGGAACCCAGGAGAGACCCCCAGACGAAGAGAGGGCCTAGCTACTGGAGGGCCCTGAAAAGGGAACTCCCAGTATGAGGTACCCCACAGAGCAGATATGAGGCTGAAAGAGCCCCTCAGAAGGACCCCCCAGGCCGAAAAACTCTAGACTCACATGCCAGGAGACCTCCCAAGCTGAGACACACCCTCAAGAGCAGACTTGAACCAGAGAAACCCTGCCATTCCTGAGGCCAAACTGCCGGAGTTTGAATTCTGACCCCACCACTTACTAGCTGTGTGACCTTGGGCAAGTTACTTCACCTCTCTGTGTCTCATTTTCTTCATCTTCAAAATGGGGATAACAGTACCTTACCTCATAAAAGTATTTTGTAAGGATTAGATAATCCATATAAAACCTTAAGAAGTGTTTCTGGCACAATGTAAACATTATTATTATTATTACCCTCACCATCATCACCGCTATCATCGTTATCTGCATTCCAATTTCAGTTTTGCTCTTGAGGAAATTTCTGACAGACTAACACTTCCTGCAGATAGTGGGTATTTGTCTGATGATTATTACCGCTGCTCTTATCATTGATTCCCTAGCCCCGGGGCATGCACCGCGTCAGTAAGGAGGGCTTGAGCATGGTGGGCGGTGGGGCAGCCTCCCAGATCTCACCCGACTGGGTGGCTGTTGGCAGTCCACAGGGTCTCAGGTGGCATAAGCCACTGCCCCCTCCAGGCAGACATCCTGTGACTTACCTCTAGAAACATTCCTGTCCCTGGAGTCACCTGGCAAAGAGGGTCAGGCTTGGGTCCTCAGTGGGAGGGGGGAGTGGGAACCTGGCCCGGCTCCTGTGAGCTCCATTCTGGTTCCCCAGCCAGAACTACCCCGGTGGGTGGAAACAGCTTTTACCGCGTGTGGCTGTCGCATGTGGTTTTGGAATTTTCCAACGCCCCCTGCAATTGGCTGCCCCGCCCCTCACACCCTGCCCCGGGCCCAGATTGGCCACGTGGGGCGCCTGTCATCCTACTTGCTGCACCCCAGAGGGGGTGGGGATGCGGTGAGGGGGGTTTGTCACTCAGCCACCTGTGTGGTGGTGGCTTAAACCCCCTTCCCCAGAAGAATTGGGAGATAGCTAGGTGCAGAGCTACGAGCTGAGGCTCTGCAGAAAGGGCCTCACCCCCAACCCAGCTGCCAGCTGTGCCCCATCCCTGGACCACCCCCTGCTGAGGACAGAGAGCTGAGGCAGCGGCAAAGCCCAAGGCTCAGTCATGAGAAGTAAGTGAAGGGGGCCACCTGGGAGTGGGGAAGCCTGGACGCCATCGTCATCCCTGGGCCTCTAGAACAGAGGGGTGTCTTGGGAACAGTGTGAGCAAAGCTGAGTGCTCTTTCTTGCTGGCAGCGTGTGTCCCAGGCAAGGCCAAGGTCTGTTGGGAGATGGGTGGAGTAACTGACAAGTCTTGCTCCCCGGGCAATTTTCTTAGAGCAGGTTGGGTAATACATGGGGTTGTAGAGGAACGCCACTGTCGTGAGCCCTGGAAACGATCTGCAGGAGTATCTGAGGTGCTCTGCTCCTCGTTTAACAAGAAAGGACTGAGCCCCAGGAAGGGGAGAGCTTCGCCCCAGATCCCACGGCTGTAGCAGAGGGCAGCTGCTAACTGACAGGCACAGACCCGGACTCTCACTGCAGAGTTTCCCTCCATGCCTCTAGCCTGCCTCCGAGTTGGTGAAAGAGGAGCCAGACAGCCAGAGGGGTTGCTGTGCCCCAAAGCAGCAGGACAGGGAGAGGAAAGCCAGATCAGCAGGTAGAGGGGGTCCGAACCCCACATCCAGGTCTCAACATGCGTGCGTGTGTGTGTGTCCTCAGTTTCAGTCACCCATTTGATGAGGGGGCTAGGGGAAGGGAGACGGGAGCAGAAAGACTTCAGCTTCACCACCTTCCTGGTGTGGAGCCATGGGCCAACAGCTAGTAGGCAGATGTCTGGGGTCCCTGTGCCTTCTAGCAGAGCAAGGATGGGTGAATCAGACAATCCCTGTGTTCATGTAAGGAAAGCTAGTGAACCTCTCAGAGCAGCAGGCAAATGCGCAAAAGGGAAGCCCCATGTCCCTGTGGCCTGAGGCCTGAGGCAGCCCCAGCCTCAACCTGGGGTCTTCCCACAAACCACAGAAAAGAAGCCATATTGGGTCCTGGAAAGACCCATGGGTCGAGAGTCTAAAAACCAGGTTCTGGTGCCAGCTCTGTCACTGACTCACCATGTAGCCTTCGGCAAGTCACTGGGCCCTGGTCTCCTCATCAACAAAACAAGAGAGCTGAACCTAAAAACAAAACCAGCTTGGGAGAGGCTCCCAGTTCTAAGGACCCATGACCAAGAAGAGAGCCCTGGTCCCCGAGGTGAGCATCCCCAAGGCTGGTGAAGACGTCTCAACGCTCCCAGGACACAGACGAAAAGGAGGCCATAGGAAAGGAAGAGCTTGGGACTGAGATCCCAGTGCAGGTGTATGAGCTGGGTGGGTCAGTGAGGCGAGGAAAAAAGCCAAACCTTCCACAGGAAGAGGGGCCCTTTGGAGCTTTCGTTTCCTTCTAGCTTCTTCCGATTAGCAGCAAAGGTTAGCAAACCAATCTTCCCAGAAATGACCTCCAGTCAGCAAATCCACCCTAGCGAGCAAGGATCGGATATGCTTCAGAGCTCGGCAGGAGAGCAGGAGTCCCCAGGACTGAATGAGGGAGCTTCTAGGCAGCTCCACATGATATCCCCCAACAGCTCCATCCAGGCTGGTAGATAGGAGAGAGGGGTCCCCTCCGATCTGGGACCGGATGCCACCAACGCTTCTCACTTGGACATCTCTGGGTATCTCAAGGCCCTGGGTTACCTGACTGTCCCCCACTCCCGCCCCATACACACTCCTAGTGAGTGCCAGCCACCTCCATGCCTTCTGACCATAGTCAGAGAGAGGCAGCACATTGGGGGCTGGGGACTATGACACACCCAGAGACCAAGGGGCAGACACAGACCAGGAAATAAAAAGAGGAGCAGAGGCCAGTGATGTCCTGATGGAGCTATAAATGGAGAAGTACCAGGAAATACCACCAAAACACCGAGGTATGAAACCCAAGACAGAGCTGGAGCACAGAAGATAGTAAGGCATACCGACACAGAGAGAGAGATGCAGAGGGAGGAGGATGGGGGGCCAAGGGGAGACGTGAAGTAATGACAGCGTCCAGGAAGGCAGAGAGAGGGAGGCATGGAGTACATGGAGGTTCTGAAAGGATGGCACAGTTCCCCGCCATGGCTACCTGCTGCTAAGTAAAGAGGAAAAGTCCATTGGCCAAACGGATTCCCCAGCCAGCCAGAGGCATGGTGGCCCTAGTCATCTCTCTCTCTCTCTGAGGACATGAAAGTG